CGCTTTTTCCCAGCGTCCTTCGTGCAAGTTGCAGCTGCGTTTCTCCTCCCGATCCCCGCGTCCCGTCTGCACGCACGGTGACAAGCAAAGACAGTGCCCAGAGACCAGTCTGAGAGCTTTCCAGGGGGAATGAGACTTGTAGACGCTTTAGCCTGTTTCTTAATTGATGCTCAACGAGCCACGGCTTTGCCGAGGGGAGAGACGTTAATTTTGTGTGGCGCTCCCCTCCCTTCAGATAAACTTCCTCCGCCTGTACCTGTTCCTTGGAGCTGTGTTGATCAGTGCCACAGCAAGGAGGAAATGTAGAAGGTTTCTGCTCTCAAGACAATGGAAGGAAAGAATAACACACAAGTAAAAAGTTGAGTAATGAATTGGGAGGGGGGTGGGTCAAGACAATAAAACAGAAAACTGCATAGCGAGGAAGTCAACACACTAGTAATTGTCTAAATGAAATGTGTTTACTCTCTGCTAAGTGAACCCAAACTGGCAAGCCCTGTTGCTAACCAGCTCGATAGGAGACCTTGCAGCTGAGCAAAATCTTTCTCTCTCTTCCGGGTCAAACGGGTGTAAAGAAGTTGAAAGTAGTTGTTGGGCAAATCAGACATTGACTCGCTAATGAAGAAATACACACACAGAGTACCCAGGAGTTTAGAAATTTGATATTCTGTTAGAAATGGTAATGGTTTCTACTCCTTCTTCAACTCTTACGTTCTCATGATGGATTTCAGGGAAGGGGTGCGGTTTACACCTGTTTCAGATCCGACCCAAATTTCTTACTCCATGCTTCCCAGAAGAAATGAGACCCAATCTCAATCGGTTTCAAGCTATATGAGTTTACAAGTGTCATTTGGTTTGGTTTGGTTTTTTGAGACAGGGTCTTTCTACTGTCCTGGAATTTGTTATGTAGACCAGGCAGGCAAGCCTCTAAAAGACATCTGCCTGCCTCTGCCTCCCAAGTGCTGGCATCAGTGGGCCACCGTACCCGGCTGCAGGTATTCTTGATGAATGAAACACACTTTAAAAACATGAAAAGGAATATATATGTTTCATGGAGAATTCCATGAAAGGAAAAAGGCGTTTGTATTCATAAAGTCATTTCTCACCAATTAAAAGTTAACAATAAGTGAATACACAAAGTAACTGATAAGGCCAGACTATCAACCATAAATTTATAAGAAAATTGGGACATTCAGATCATCCACCAAAGCTTACACTCAGTTTTATTGTCCCCAGAGGGAAATCACAGCTCTGACAATGGGTTATAGAAATGGTCCCAGAGAAGGACAGGAGACACTGGTGGATCAAAAGTCATAAATATGGCTTGTTTTATTTGGGGGCTCTTTTCCTTCTAAGCCATAATTAGTATCCATTTTGAGAACTGAAAAATATGTCCAGGAAATACAGACTAAATGGATATTTAAGGAAGCCAGTCTGTCACCCCTTATTGCTGTGACAGTCTTATCCAAGGTCCCTGGTACAATTGTATTTTCTCTGCCTCCCCCAACCCCAGCTTCATTTTAACTGTTTTAAAAACTTATTGCCCAAATGGTATTTTCAGTTCTGGTTGAAAAATCATCAACATGCAAAATACAAAGTATGACTAGCACCAGAGGTACCTATACAGAAGGGCTACTGTATCTGCATCCATTGGGTCCATAAAAGGTAAAAAATCAAGAGTCCCAAATAATTCCTTGGGTATGTTTCTGAAGCTGAGATCTGCCCCACAGAGAGACTTGATGACAAAAAGAGTTCATTGTTTTAAAGCTAGTAGACTACCCACAACATACAGTGAAAACAAATAGGCAAAAAATAATAATACCCAACACTAATCTATTGGGGAAAATACACCATTGCTTTCTCTCTGAAAGAGTGGCATTGGTGCGCATTTCTGATTCACTCAAGCTTTTCTGGGAGTTCTGAAATAAAAAAAAAAAGATAAAAGAGATTTTTCCATAGGAAACAAGTTTTACATTTTTATGACATAGGTGTCAAACAGTAACAATCTAACAAATGTTGACAGATCAAATAAAATTTGATTTGATGAGCAGCTCCATAAAGTGAATGTCTGGTTTTTTAAATGTGAATCACAAGTTAGAGCTTTGAAAAACCATCATTGATTCTATTGCAGGTAGCATAATCATGTTAAAAGTTATGGAAGTAAATTTTAAATATTGGGTTTATAAACTTAACAATTTCATGCATGGTTGAAATTTTTCCTTAAAAACGTAGAATTAGAAGCAAACAATAGAAGATCAGATAACCCAAGGTGTGAGATTTATAACTGTTACAGGTGTCAAAGTATGAATAGAATTTAACCTGATCATTTATTATTTATTTATTTATTTTAGATAAGCACTTCCTGTATTGCGTACATTGCCCTTGAACATCTAGAATCAAAAAGCTGTCCGGCTTCCACACCCCAAGATGGCTCCCATGCTTGGTTCTGATTTTAATCTGTAGATGTATAGAGGAAAGGCACAATAAAGTAAAAAGTTTGTTCAAACTATTATAAAACCCACTACTTTCCATAGCTATTTATTTTTGAGACAGGTTTGTAATCCTGCCTCAGCCTCGCAGGGGCTGCAATTATAAGCAGGTGCCATGATACCCCTCCCCCCCAAAAAACAAACAAACTCTTTTGTGGCTCTTAGGAAAGAGCAGGTTAATGCAGTCTGAAGGGAGGAATAGGCACAGAAACACAGTTGCAACAATGATTTTAAATAAATGAACTGGAATTCACATCACAAATAGTGAACAAGAAGTGTATTCCCTAATGTGTCTGTCTGTCTATAGTGTGTGTGTGTGTGTGTGTGTGTCTGTGAAAAAAACACTTGGGGCCATTGAGGAGACTCATCGGGTAAAAACCCTGGCTGCATAAACCTGAAGACCCACATTTTTTAAAAAGCCTGATTGGGGGATAGGGTGGAGGGCATCTGTAGCTCCAGAGCCCCTATAGTGAGAGGCTAGAGAATCATCTAGCTTGAGGGCTAGCTAGCCTGGGGTAGGCTGTACCCCAACAACATGTAAGGTAAGAGCCTACTCCTGGAAGTTATTCTCTAACCTCCACATGTATAGTATGGCATGCATACACCTGCATTCACACACATACAAAACAGATAAAAATATTTCTCTTTAAAGATAGGGTCTCACTATGTGGCCCTTATTAGTCTTGAACTTGCTGTATAGACCAGGGTAGCCTTGAGCTCACAGAGAACGTCTGCCTCTGCCTACTAAGTGCTGGGATTAAAGGCTGCAACATCATATTCAACCAGTAAGAATGTTTTGAAACACTTAAATACATATACACACATTTATAATTCTGTAGAACACATATACCAAATCATTTCCCAGGCTATAGATTGTGTGGTTAGGAACCTACACATTAAATTCTCAAAGTGTGATTGCCCAGCATTGGAGATAATTCCTTTAGATTGACAGCCCCAAAGCCAGAAATAGTGTTAGAAACTCTTGAGGAAAGACCCTTGCTCGGGGTACAGGGCCAGTGACATCACCTCTGTGCTGAGAGCAGAGGGAGCTACATCAGTAATTCAAAACAGCTGAGGGTTAAGGGCAAGAGACGCAAGCAATGACGTCTTCCCCCAACGGTTTTTCCTGTGCAGCAAGTTCCCAGCTGCCTACTGTAAACCGGAGCTCTGATAGCATAG